CAAAACTTAGCGGTAGTGCACGTGGAAAATTATCAAAATAAATCTGATGGACTTGGTTCACTAGGGCACGGAAGATTGTTCATAAATTTTCATTGCCACATAGGTATTACCGCCATCTGTAGGCGAAAATAATCCATTGCAGCATGGTCCATTGCAGCACGGAAAATATACACGATTAACCTACAATTTTTGAGATATTAATAAAAATCCGATTAAAAATAAAACGTTTACAAAAATTATTATTTACGTGAATAAAGTAAAAAATAGGTTATTTTATTTGAAATTGAACAAAACATTAAATATCAGTGTTTTTTTACGTGAAGATAAGGTATTTAAAATAAAAATATTAATTTAACAAACTAAGTAACTTATTTTTAATACATGCATCCAGCTGTTCAGAATCACTGCTAATGTCATTATTGTTGTTAAAAGATGATGGATTTGGATTAAATGATTTTAATAAATTTACAGCTTCGGGAACAAGCTTTTTCTTTTTGGATAACTTAAGTTTTGTCTGAACAAATCAATAAATTATGAAATATATTAGTCTCCACTCTGCTTATTTTTCTTGAATGATGTTCCCTGTATCGTCTGTACTCCTTATTTCTTGATATTCGTCCGGTAATTTTCCGATGGGTACAGGTCCCGATTTTATGATGTCTCCCCCTGAATAAGAATTTTATATACAGGGTGTCCCAGAAATAAGTGCAAATATTTTAACTGGTAGTATAGTTCAACCCCAGAAACACGCCTATGAGGTTTTTTTTGCGAAAAAATAATGTTGAAAATTTAAAATTTTTCTTGACATTTTCCGGGAAATTTGAAAAAACTTTTTAGTGCCACTTGTTTATTCACCTGAAATTTCTCTACGGTGTATCTAAACCTTGCAGTGTTGCAACCTCCTATGTTATCCACATTCTACATAGTTCTACATTTATAAATTCATAGACAAATTTCTACTCAAAAATTAGGAATGTTAAATTTAATCTTTTATCAGTGCTCATTATTAATAATTATTATAGAAAAAAAAACACATTAATTATTTTTAGTACCCTTTCAATGAAAACTTAACAAAAACCACCGAAAATTAACTAAAAGGCTAAAACATTACGTTTATGACGTTTACGAAAATGATTTATCATATTATTCACAACCAGGTCACAAAAAAGAAATTCCTAAAATGTTTATCGTAATTTAGAATTCCATATATCGAAAACAGCCCAACGAATAATCGATTAATTTCTGTTTTGTTTGTTTTCTTTCATGTTTCTCTGTTTTATTTCAACCACTGATTTACAAAACAGCTTGAAAAGCGCACATTACTTTGAATACCGTCTCTTATCGCCACTTTACGAACTACTTTCAATCTAAGAAAATACATGTTTCACTCAACAATTTTAAATACGTATTTTGTTTTTTCGCTATTTTTTCGATGTATTTCGACAGCCCAACCGTTGCGCGTCGGCCAAGAGTGCTACGTGTGAACTGGTCTTTTGAGTTTTGAGCCGCGCTGTCGTGGCGGGCTTGCGTCAGACGATGATGTTAAGCAACTTTGCCGTAGTTACAACAATTTCAAATTCAAGACATTCGAAGCAATCAAATTCGTATTAAATTTTAAAAATAAAACAGAGAAACATGAAAGGAAACAAAAAAAACAAAAATGAATTGATTATTCGTCGGGCTGTTTTCGATATATTGAATTCTGAATTACGACAAACATTTTAGAAATTTCTTTTTTGTGACCTTATTAATAATCAATTCATTTGTGTTTTGTTTGTTTCCTTTCATGTTTTTCTGTTTTATTTTTAAAATTTAATAAGAATTTGATTGCTTCGAGTGTCTTAAATTTGAAATTGTTGAAACTACGGCAACCTCGCATGACGCAAGCTCGACACGCCGGCGCGACAAAGGAGCAGTGAGTCTTGGCCGACGGTTGGGCTGTCGACGGAATTATCGAAATACATCGAAAAAATAGCGCAAAAATAAAATACGTATTTAAAATTGTTGAGTGAAACATGTATTTTCTTAGATTGAAAGTAGTTCGTAAAGTGGCGGTAAGAGACAATAATTCTCAACATTTATTTATTCAGAAAGGTATTCAAAGTAATGTGTAATGTGTGCTTTTCAAGGTGTTTTGTAAATCAGTGGTTCAAATTGTGATGAAGCCTATATGAAAATAATGTGTTAAGTTAAAAATGGGGACTGTTATTTTAGCAGTTTTTATAATAGCATGTACAAGTAAAGCAGCACAATGAAGTGTATTTTAGTTAAGTGTGTATAGAAAAAGTCTGTCGCAGTTACATCGATCTGTCATAAGTATCTTTTTTAATGTTGGGTAAGTTTTTTAATTTAACTTTTTTAACTTTTAAACATTTAACTTTTAATTTATTTTATGTAATAATATCACAATCTTAAAAATGTAATGCATCTCTGCAAACTCCTCAGGTATTGTGATTTTATGACTTACTTTTAAACATATACTTTCTTGTCCATATGGCAACACAGTGCGTCGAATTAACTGAAATCCGGGCTTGATCCGGGTAATTGGATGTAGTTGGCAATATCTGCCGGCGGTTCTCAAAATGTTGCGATTATTTTTTTACATTTTTGAAGTTAAATAACGCGGTTATTTTCAATTTATTTTAAAATGGTAAAGAGAAAATATGTTTATTTTGACCAGATCTACCACCCCTTAAAATATCTGCACTCATTTCTGGGACACCCTGTATATTGACAGGTATTTTGTACCACGGATAAAGAAATACAAATTGCTTGAATTTTCTAAGGAGTATAATTTAAAATTATTAATGTCAATGCTGAATCCGCTGGTAATCACTTGTAGAATCACAAAGAATCGATATATTAAATGTTGATCTAAACTTGTTATTTCGGCAGATATTGTATAATCTTGAAAAAATTTGCGCGCTGTCATTACTTGTACCAAGACCTTGTTTCAGTACATCTACAATTATGTCTAATCGATTTCTAAACTTTTTTTGAATTCTTTACTTTTCGTTTTGACTTACATTTTCTCTTTTCCAACATATCGCCATTTTTATAAGCTTAAACGGTAACTTATCTTAAGCAGGCATTCCATACAACGAATACATGCGTATAAGATAGAAATTCCAAATTTTAAGTAACCCTCCCGTATTGATATTTTCAGCACGACATCTACAGTGGTGGCCAGAGAAATAGAGCCATTTATATTAACACGTTAAACGTCCATCACTTTCCGAAACGTTTTCCGGCTCAGTTTCGTAAGTCGTGATCCCCTCAACTGACCCCGAAGACAAAAACGATTCTAAACACAATTGAGTTTGTAGAACAGCACGAAAAAGAAATGAATATTCTTACCATCGCTAAAGTTCGACTTCCAATTGTTTTTTGCAAGTAAAAGAATACGTTTTGCACGTTGACTCATTGTAAAATCGATTACGACAGATTTTACTAAACGCTACAAAATATAATAAATTAACCTGCACGCTTCAAGTACCCACGTGCTACTGCCGAGTGCCGACCAACGTTCGATTGTTCGCAACGGAAAATAGTCCTGGGTACACGCGAAAGTCAAGGTTGACGAGGACCGCTAGACATTCACTACTACCAGATGGATCGTGGTTATCGCCATAATGGGCGGGACGTGGTTGACTCGGGCTAGACGGACCGCCATGGTCCATGTGGAACATTGTTCCCCACCCGCCATGGCGCGGCGCGGCGATTCTAAACACAATTGAGTTTGTAGAACAGCACGAAAAAGAAATGAATATTCTTACCATCGCTAAAGTTCGACTTCCAATTGTTTTTTGCAAGTAAAAGAATACGTTTTGCACGTTGACTCATTGTAAAATCGATTACGAGAGATTTTACTAAACGCTACAAAATATAATAAATTAACCTGCACGCTTCAAGTACCCACGTGCTACTGCCGAGTGCCGACCAACGTTCGATTGTTCGCAACGGAAAATAGTCCTGGGTACACGCGAAAGTCAAGGTTGACGAGGACCGCTAGACATTCACTACTACCAGATGGATCGTGGTTATCGCCATAATGGGCGGGACGTGATTGACTCGGGCTAGACGGACCGCCATGGTCCATGTGGAACATTGTTCCCCACCCGCCATGGCGCGGCGCGGCGGTTCTAAACACAATTGAGTTTGTAGAACAGCACGAAAAAGAAATGAATATTCTTACCATCGCTAAAGTTTGACTTCCAATTGTTTTTTGCAAGTAAAAGAATACGTTTTGCACGTTGACTCATTGTAAAATCGATTACGACAGATTTTACTAAACGCTACAAAATATAATAAATTAACCTGCACGCTTCAAGTACCCACGTGCGACTGCCGAGTGCCGACCAACGTTCGATTGTTCGCAACGGAAAATAGTCCTGGGTACACGCGAAAGTCAAGGTTGACGAGGACCGCTAGACATTCACTACTATCAGATGGATCGTGGTTATCGCCATAATGGGCGGGACGTGGTTGACTCGGGCTAGACGGACCGCCATGGTCCATGTGGAACATTGTTCCCGACCCGCCATGGCGTGGCGCGGCGGCGCACAGTGGTTCCAAATGGTGAAAAAGTGCCGCATGTGATTTTATTGACTTAATTTTTTGGTTAAGGGAGACATTTTGTAATTGATTTTGTGGAGCACAAAGTTAAGGTTTCAAGGTATTAAAAAACGTCAATTGTGAAGTCCTTAACATCCGCAAGACCAGGACGACTGCTCTACATCCACGCGTCAGCTCCACTCGTCTATTTATAACTGTCCTCTCTAGGCCACAGCCGCCGGCATTTATACCTACAGCTAAATATTTCTAGAATAGTCCATAGATCGTTAGGTGCATAGAGAAGGTTTTGAATGTTCTCGTATGTACTACTCCATTCCAGTGGGACTCGTTTTTTCTCGAATCTTCGAATGAATCATTACGGTGTCTATTCTTTAATGCGATGTTAAGGCCATCCGAGGGCGGGCCTTATAGTTAGGTTAGGTCGAGTCCACACCGGTCCGCAACAATATGAATCACTAGTTAAAAAACGCCATCTTCAAACTCATTAGTAATTTCGTCATCTTCATCATTACTTGTAGAATTGTCCTCGTCAGAACTCATATCGTACCCCACACCCATCATGGCATTGTTAACAGAAGTTTCCTTATTGAGAAAATCTAGAGGTAGGTGTACATTTTCATCCTTTTTTGTTGTCTTTGATGACAACTGAAATTTCTTGAATAAGAAAAAAAATAGTGGATCAGATGTTAACATAAATCTGTTAAAAATATCTTCTAAAGTGTCTTTCCGAGAAATCTTTCTTGTGAAGTCTGTACGATATCTTTTAAAATCTTTGTTGCGGGCTTCTTGTGGTTCTTCACTCAATGCTCCTAAATTAAAAAAATAATTATTGTTTGGTATTAAAGTTTTATAAGAAATATTACCTACTGGAATGAAAGGAAATTGTTTCATGTACTCATGTCCATGGTAAAGAATTTTATAAACTGTTGGTGAAAACGTGAATTGAGGGTAGGTTTTGTGAAAAAGTTCAGCAGTTTTACGTGCATAATTTTCATAAGACTCAGGTGAAATAATTCTGTTGCATGATATCGCAGCTAGGACATTCGAGAACCTTTCAATAATAGGTAACTCTATCCCTATAATTCAGATGTAACTTTCGAGTTCTGAAAAAATCTCCTAGCTGTATTTCCGTCATGGGAAATACCAAACCCTGGTTTTGGTTTACCTATGTTTAAACCAGTTTTCTCTTTAAACTGCTTTTGTATTATTTTCTTTTTAGTTTCTTGTTCTTCCTTCGTAGAGGCCAGTCTAAAAATAAATTAAATATAGATGGATAATGCTTGCTGACATGACAGCAACTTCTCATCTAACTAACAATGTTTAATTCTCTCATCTAATATACATACTTGTATGAACATCTCAGTAAAAATTCCATGGAGTTAATTTTTGCATGCAAAGGGGATATTCCAAATTTCAAAACATCTGCATTGGTTTGGCTCGGCAAATTATTCAAAGTTTTTGGTCCAGCTAGACAAACAGGGCATCTCTAAAAGTACAATAGGTTTAAACATTATGCAGAACGTTTAAAATATTATATTTAACAAAAACTCATTTACCGAAGTTGCAGCATTTTTGCACACCGCATTTATTATTTTTCCATCTACCATTGTACAGTAGAATCTATGTCTTACAATGACTTCTACGCTATTATTAATTTTTATTTTACTGTCCTGTATTTCCACAATTTCCTTCATCACTCTAGAATACTCTGTTAGAATTGTATTACAGTCTTCCTTGCAGAAAGCCATTCTCATTGGTCGACATAAGCTAAAATTTGAAAATGTAATTTATCAAAAATATAGATTAGGCTCCTCCAAATTCTAGTCTAAGTCTAATAACTCGACGAAATTTAGATAAAATTTGATATGTAGTAACATATTGATGTAGTTGGTAGGAAAAAAGGCTCATAAATTTCAGGTTTCCAATCTTCATACCCTTTTTCTTCAGTATTTTTAATCATACCTTGAAGAATTTGGATTTTCATTTCTCCAAATAACATCTTTCTGAGAATCATCTCTATATGTTAATGAAATAGGCACCAAGTTAGTACAAAATACAGTAGAATCGGAATTTTTTGGATCCATAAATCGTTGCTTAAATTCCGAATGACCACTGCTTCCATCCATACCCCATTTATGTGTGGCAATAATATCACATGTACTATTCAGATCAGCAATATTAATTAAAATTCGTTCTACTGTGGTATCAACTAAATTCTGAAGAGTCACTTTGGCTTCAGTTTCAGTAAAATCATCAGGATTTAAAACAGGATAGCTCAACTTTTTATATTTAAGTATCTCCTGGTATGAAGGGTACAGATCCGTACCTGATGAAAAACATAATGAAAAAAAAATATTTATACAAATTGCGAATTAATGAAATTACCTTTCCAAAGTGTAGCTGACCGCATGTTTTGGTACTGTGCCTTTGTTTGCTTGCTGTTGATTATAAATAAAGCGATGGCTTCATTAGGCGTAAATTTTTTGGGAATATTTTGTTTCAAAGCAGCCAACACTTCATCCGGAGAAGAAATAGCGGCTGAAACTGCTTTAGCAACATCATGTTTATGTTCCTTTTTAAGAACAGAAACGGTTGCGTAAGCAAGGATGTCTGAAGTATAATTATCTCTGACGTCTATAATGAAGTAATTAATATATGGTAAATACATTGCACAAAATTGAAATAAAAAAATCACCTTTCGTAGTTCTGTCTTTTTGAGATTTGGATAAATCGGAAAAACATTTTCTTTTTGATGGACCGGGTTCCGATTCCCCAGTGCATTGCGAATTTTCGGCTATAGCTACGTCACTGAATACATTTTTTTCTAACCAATCAGCATTTTTCAAACTAAATTTTTGCCAAGAATAAGATGAATCTCTCCATCTTTTGGTCCATTTTTGAATGAATGATTTGAGTATTTTCTTAGCGGATTCTTGCTCCGTGTTCTAAATATCACAATAATTTGTTAGATATAGGGTAATTTCTTCCAAAATTTCAGCTTCCGATTTTCCATTGAATCCATTCTTAAGAAAACGTTTACATAAATTCATACGACTGATGTTACCTAAAATGTCAGGTGTTTTTCAATTGATGAATAGACGCCAGAAGAAATCACAAAATGGTTTTTTTTCTATCTGGCATCAAAAAATTTAGTTTAGTGTAAATTGGGAGTCGCCAGTTCGTATTTTTTTTTAAACGAAAACAATATTAGGTAAAAATTCTATTTCGGCGGGTCATGGCGGGTCTAAATATTGAACTAAAAAGTAGGAGGGGTTCTACAAAGACTTTAAAAATAAAAACTAGCGTGGTGTTCGGTGGTGCTTTTAAGATATTTGAACTCAAAAGACAAATACAGATTATTAAAAAAATACTTACCTGAATGGCCTTCCTCCATGGTTGTATTACTTTTCACACGTATTATTGTTGATTTAATAAAACACCAAAATTTATCTTAATGCTGACCTCCGTTGGATTTACAAAGTGTACAAATGATAAAAATCTTAAAAATGCTCGCCATCAAAAAATAATCAACAAAAAACATAGACGAGATAGTGATAAATGGTTTATCGGGTGCGTATTTGAAATATGTTATTAAAAGTGAGATTTATCAGATATGAATTTTAACCGATATGCGTCACTTTTTGCCATATCGGAACCATTGTGCGGCGGCCGCCAGAAAAAAAATGAATAAGAACTCAAAAATAAATCATAAAAATAAAATTACAGATATTTTTATATTTGTTTGATCGTAAACCAGTATATGACAAAATTATAACTTGGCCCAGAGAGCATTTTTTAAACATTTTGTCTGGCGTGTTAAGTATAATTTGAAGTCACTAATTTCAATGGTATAATAATAATAGCTCCCGTATATAGCGTTTGACGCCTTGGGAGTAGCAAGGTACAGCTTGCCATACTAGAGCCGTTCGGTATACAAGGAAGGTAATGTGGCTAGCGCGACGCTACAACCGCCTATTATTACCTCAGGATTGTGAATCCCAAGTACTCATTTAAGGCTCAGTCGACCTAGGTACCCAAACTATTTTTATTTTAATAAAAATAGTCGGCTGATGCAATGCTGGGTGTGGGATTCGAACCCACTACCTTGAGATTGGTAGACAAGAGCCTGTACCTCTACGCCACCGGGCACCTCATTCAAGCACCGATTTCAATGGTGATGCCAAAAAAATAAACTTCTATGAAAATAATAAGAAAAATTTCTGGAGTAAAAAATGTGGCTTTTATTAACAAAATACAAAATAAAATTATGCAGATTCGTCGTCGTCGCTATTGAAATCATATTGATTGCTGTAAGAAAAAAATTAACATGAATTTTTTTAACAAATTTAGAGAATCCATACCTTTTGTTGCTACAGTTTCCTTTGCACTTGTTGCAGTTGAGAGTGCAGGGAAGCTCGTTTTTCCGGCATTAGATCCGGCATGGTATTACAATCGCTTGAACACCCGCATTTCTCTAGCTCCCTACAACCTTGCCAGTTTATTTGGACCAGATAGGCTTCAATCAATTTTCAGTATTTTTCCACCCCCATTTACTTGGCTCTGGTGGACTTTCCAACATATCAGCTCTTCCCCAGATTTGATATGCTGCTCTAAGAGTGTGCTGTTTTAATACAGCTGCTGTCGGTGGAATCAAAAGTAGGAGACGATTTTCTGTCCCAAAAAGATGTTTTCGTGCCTGGTTTACACGCTGACATTCTCGGTGTCGAATACCCTAGAGATGTGTTGTATATTTTACAACAAATATATCGCCATGACTCTAGAAATATTTTTTTTTAATTGGATATTCTTCTATATATTATAAATAACATTTTTATTTAATATTGTATTAAATAGAATAAATATAGATTAAAACACTGTAGTTTATTTTAATATAATTTATATGCTTTTATAATTTTTAATTCAAAACAAAAGGAATCAATAAAAAACAAACTTCTCAACACAATATACTACACAAAAAAATAAAGTTAAAATTCTATAAATTAAAATATTAAAAAAACAAAATTAAATCTCTAAAATAAAAAAAATAATATCAAACTTACTAAAACTATCAAACCTTAAACTATACAAAAAAGAAAGAAAAATAAATTTAAAATTCTATAAAGTCAAAAAAAAATAAACCTCTCAAATAAAAAAAATAACAAACTTACTTAAACTATATAAAAGAGAAAAAAATAATAAAGTTAATGAATTCTATAAATAAAAAATCAATCATATCTTCATGCATTAAATGCAGCAAGACTTTCAGTGATATCGTTTACTGCATTTGCAATTTTTTCTATTGCAGTTATTTTTCTTTTGTAATACGACTCTTTTGATTTAGCCATGTCAAGTTGAATTTGTAGCTTTTTTTCCTTGTACAACCTATACGCTTCTAGGTGCATTTCATACATTGTTAAACATTTTTCATTGGCTTTTAATGCCTCATTAAGCCTCGCTGTTTTCGTAAATTTCTGTTTCAGTGGTGTCTTGGGAATTTGTGTGTTAGTGATGTTCAGTTGATTATTTTCTTTTGAGGTACTTGGTTTACAATAATCATGATTATGTATCAATATAGCTTTGATCCATCTCCTAAAATATTATATTATCAAATTATATGGCATTTAGTTATTTAAAAAAATATATCAACAAAATATTGAACTAGAGAATAAAATAAAGTTTAAAAACATTTCATTATTAAGGCCCTTTTCAACAGCCTCCGGTAAATTTACAAGAACTACCCACACAAACATTATCTCTTTTGAAATGACCTTCAAATTAATCAAGGTCAATACTTCTTCGGCTCACGGATCGATGCTGATGGAAAACATGCCATCGAGCAAAAATTGATCCAGTATCCCGCTAGCTATACTACTCCCGTACGCCAATAACAAATGTTTGAGAAGTTCACAAGTCGTCTTAGCATGCCATAAAATATACCTACGTATATTTTACCAAAAAATAAATTGTCAAGTTACTTAAGAATAAAGATCAATGATAATTTGTTGTTTCCTTTTCATCATACGCGGACTATATACTAATATAGCTAAAAATATCTTCATCAATTGGCTTGTTAAGCTTTTTTATACTAGGGTGTCAAATGCTTTTTAAACACTGATCGTCTTTAAATTTTGAAATTAAAATAATCGCCAAGTTTGTAAACCATGTTGTAAAAGAATTGATATTTTTAATTTTCTTGCCTTGGGCAAAAATATCCTTTAGTATCATTTCTATCCCAAAATTGTTAATATATTTTTTAAATCTTTTGACAGCATTTTTATCATATGGGCACTATATAGGTGTATGTAATAAAGTCCTTATTCGAAAGGTCACTTTTATTAATGCAAATCCTAAAACCTATTTGCAGATATTCAGTTAAAGATATCCCATTGCCAGCTTTAGTAATTGCATGTAGATTTGGAAAGATGAAAGTCAGATAATAGCAAATAGTTTTATATCATGGAAAATTTTAAAAATGACTTTCTACGAATCATCTAATATATAGGAACAATTCTCTTTGTCGGTTAATCACTGCAGTATAAATATAGCCTCTTTTATCAGTTGGATTACTTACAATATTTCCTGTAGCGTCAAAATAATAAAGAGGAAGGTTATAATTTATTCGATGTTTTTGCAAGATTAAAAACTTTTCTAAACTGTATGATTTTACACAAAAAGGCACCGATACTTATTTAATACATGGATGATCACTTTGATTTTATTTTAATTTGCTGTAGAATTCGTTGTTGTTGTGGCCATCAATGGGAATTTTTATAATTTATATTTTATCTTGAAAGTACTTATAAAAGGGACTCGAGAGATATAAAGGAATATATTCCGTATGAGATTATTGTGGGCAACAGTATAGCTAAAAATATCTTCATGAATTGGCTTGTTAAGCTTTTCTTATACTAGGGTATCAAATGCCTTTAAACACGGAAGTAGTAATACAATGGTGCTGCTATGACACCTTATGGCTTCAAAAGGGTGTTAAAGTTGGCGGCCATTTCCAAGATGTTAAAGATGGTGGCCATTTCCTGACCTATCCAGATTCGGATTGGTTTGGTTTGGCCAGTGTTGCCAAATTTATATTTTTTCTATTTTTTTAATATTTTTGTTTTTTTTTGCCCCGGGGTATTTTTTTCTTTTTTGGGGGGGCCTGTGCCAAAAAAGTCTAAACAATGGGCCTGCGCAATGCAGCCTAACCAATTCCACCAAAAAATATACATAAATAATAATAAAAAAGTAAACATATTATTATAACAATATTATTTGCTCACCCTGTATATCGAATATAATCTTATGCAAGGCGCCCGCCCAGCCCAGCCGTTAAAAGTCACAGTTCATTTAATTTCTGCGTCTCATATGATAATTAAAAAAGGACCGTTAAGTTTATTTATTTGCATAAGTAATTGGCTTTGTTAGGCTGGGTCCTCACTGTGCGTTTTTGCCGTTTCAACGTATCCGTTTTTATTGTCGCCCGACAACACATGCATTTAAATGAGAGAGACGATACACTATTGCAGAACCGGCTCTCTGTTATTGTATATGGCAGGTGCCCGGTAGCAATAAGAACGTATGCGGTCCATCGGCACTGCAAAAACGCACATTGTGTCACCAGCCTTATAATTAATTCTTTAGATTCCATATTTCAAGTGCGTGAGAAACAAACAAATAAACAAGCTTAAACTTGTCCTAACCTGTTTTTTCCTTTAGCCGAGAGTACCATTCTAAATAGTTGTATATATTATTTACTATTATTTATAGCATTTTACGAGTATTTATGCGAATGAAAAAGCTAACGTACAAAAAGTTGATCTTAGTAATATTATTTTATCTATGATTCTTTTATTGAATACCACATGTTCAAAAAAGTATTTTATATTATTAAAGTTATTTTATTAGTACAGAAATGAAAAAAGCAATAAATCGTTAGAACATTAATTTTATTTTCAATACATAATATAAATGTACACTAAAAAACAAACATATATTATGAAAATATTCTATACTGAAACAAGTTATACATCAAAATAGTTCTTACACCTATTTTTACAAACAAAATATAATATTTTAGTAAAACAAATAAAAGATACTATTGCTTT